TAAAATCAAACAAACCAACCAAAAAAGGGACTCTATTTGTGTGAACTTTGCAATTTTTTCTTAGCCTAATAGGAAGTGTTATTAGGTTCTATAACAATTATTCTCAATTGTTATTTTATTAGTGTTTGAAATCTATTCAACTCGGATCATTCAGCCTTTTAAATTAACATTAGTATCAGGGAAACCAATGGGTAGACTTGCATAGTAATTTTTTTACATGTTTTCTAAAACTCTTGAGGTACCACAGAATCAATTATAATAATTAATTAACATAATAATATAAAAATAAATATTATAGTACAATGATTTACCTGAGATGATAAATGTTAAAAAATATTTTGATTTTGAGATTTTTTAATGAATAAAATGGACATCTTACACAAGCACTAAGATTGTCAGACATTTAAGTCTAAAAATAATTCTGACAATTTGATTAGTTAAAACAGGTTTAGTGATTGTACATCATATTTTTTAAAGTTTCATCTGTATTGTTAACTGTGTTTAAAATGACCTTTAAGACTATTTTTAAAAATTAGATATAAAATTTCATAAAAGAAAAATGTAGTATAGGGGAATAAAGTACATTACTCCTTATTTAAAAGAAACTTGATTATGATTTCCAAGTACTAAATCGGTATTTTTTTTATTTGTTTTGTTTGCTGCTTCAAAATATGTGATCAACTTCATTCCTCCATTTATTCTGTAGAATTGCATTGCAGTGTGAGTGTACTTGTACATATTATCACAATAGCAGGTATTATAATTGTGGCTTAAAACATAAAACAAACACTTTGACCTAATATGTTAGGGACATGATTAGATTTATGAAATTATTTTTCTATCATATTGTGGGTGTAATTATTAAAGGTGGTATTGATAAAGAAAAATAACTTACATATTCATTAGAGATGAGGTCATAGGCTAAGAGACCTCATCTCTCTTTTTTTTGGTTAAATACTCTAGTCAGTTTATGAAAAGCCTTCACTTCATTTTTTTTTAAAGTGAAATTCATTCTGAATTGTTTTTAACAAATTTACTGCTTTCTCTTCTCAAAAATCATTTTTTTTCTCTTCACCTCTTATTACCTTCTCTCTGTTAAGCTCTCTTATTTCCTTTGGAGCAGAATGCATTAGTCTTCATTTATGAGCTTAAGTGGAATCCTAAATACAATGCTGGGTAATAACAGACCAAGTCCCCATTTTCAGTATTGGGGTCTGCAATAGAAATTCAGAAAGCTCAGACTTCAGCTTCCCCAGAGCAGGAGAAATAGAGGTGTTAATTAGATGTATAACTACACAATTTATATCAAGACAGACTTCAAATTACATTAAATATGCAAAGTAACTTACAACTTAATATTTGAAAACAGTGAAACATTTCTTTTCCTCCATAAAGTTAACCTCTTCATATATCCTAAATACCACTTAATTTTTATAAGGAAAACTGTTTTCATTATTAATCCTCTCCTCTGCAGAATCTTTTTTTTTTTTTACTGTATATACCTTCTGTGATTTGATTTTTTTTCTTTTTTAAATTTTTTTTATTGTTGGTTGTTCAAAACATTACATAGTTCTTGATATATCATATTTCACACTTTGATTCAAGTGGGTTATGAACTTCCATTTTTACCCTGTATAAAGATTGCAGAATCACATCAGTTACACTTCCATTGATTTACATATTGCCATACTAGTGTCTGTTGTATTCTGCTGCCTTTCCTATCCTCAACTATCCCCCCATCTCCTCCCCTCCCCTCTTCTCTCTCTACCCCCTCTTCTGTAAGTCATTTATCCCCCTTGTATTATTTTTCCCTTTCCCCTCACTTCCTCTTGTATGTAATTTTGTATAACCCTGAGGGTCTCCTTCCATTTCCATGCAATTTCCCTTCTGCAGAATCTTTAAACTCCCTCAACCAAGTGTGTTCCCTCTGTCTTTATTCCTATCATGAAGTGTCCTTTGTAAACCTGTAAGTTGAATATTTGAATTTTCTTCTCTTAGCTTAACTTAAATTTCTTGTCTCCTTATATTGCCACTAAATCACACAATTAATTCCTTCCTTTTCCTAGCACTCATTCTTAACATTTTACGAACTGTACTGTGAATCCTACCTATCCTGAGATTCTTTCCCTAATACTTTCTGCATTGCTTAGAAACATTCTAAGTCTATAATTCTATTCTTTTAAATGAAATGCTATATATTCTCAGCTTCATCATAGAATGATATTTCACCTCTTACTCTAAATGAAAAGTTGACCCTCAACAAGAGTTCTAGCTCTCTCAAAAATGCTTTAAGAAAAAGCTGCTCAAAATCCTGTAACATGTGTATGTACACACAACAAAAGTGGTATCAGCATTCTTTTGGGTCTGCATTGCTGATTCTACATACTTACATTTCTAATGTCATATAAAATCTACTTCTTTTATGTTCATACCACTTACTCCCTTGATTCTATCATCTATATTCAAGGCAATTCTCTTCATCCATTTTCTATCAATCTTAGGGAGTGACTATAATCTCTGTATTAAAATTCTCACATCAAAGTTTGTTGCTTTATCTTCTCACAGTTCCACCACAGAAACCCAATCCCTAAATAAAATGTTCTATCTTTACACCATTTTGAAATGTTCAACCTCTGAGAATTCTGAACATCATTAAATCATGATAACCTAAACTCAAAATCATTCATTTTCATATTCTTGGTAAACACTCTTTCCCATCGTCCATCGTAGTTACTCTTTTAACTGTATAATTTTTCACACCAGCAGAAACCCTGGCTTACAATCACTATTCTTACTTATTTCTTTTCATTGTTTTCCATCTCCTTTCCCTTCCTTCTTCAATTTGACTTACATCTCTAACAACTTCATTGAAATCAATCATGCAAAGATCATAAGTGATTATTTTTATCATTTAACAACTTATTTGTCTTTCTCCAGAATTTGTTTCTGTTGATAGTACTAATTCTTAAATTGCTCTTTTTTATTGATTTTTTTTAAAAAATAAATGACAGCAGAATGCATTACAATTCTTATTACACATATACAGCACAATTTTTCATATCTCGGGTTTTATATAAAGTAGTTTGACACCAATTTGTGTCTTCATACATGTACTTTGGATAATGATGTCTATCACACTCTTCTTTTAATATTAGTTTTTTACTTGTATTGACATAATACCTTTATTTCACTTATTTATTTTTATGTGGTGCTGAGGATCGAACCCATGGTTTTACACATGGGAAGCAAGTGCTCTACCGCTGAGCCACAACCCCAGCCCCTTGAATTGATATTTTTTCTTGAATTTTCCACTTTCATGGATATCCTACTGTCTTTAAAATATTCTTTTCAACAGTTTTCTGGATCTTATTCTTTCACACATTTCCTAAGTAAAATTAAATATTGGTGATCCCTGAATTTCAATTCGTGGCTTGCTTCTTATTCTTCATATATTACTGACAATTCCATTTATTTCAATGACATCATTTAAATGAGGAATCTCTGTCTCTAGCTAAGACTTCTCTCCTGAGTTTCAGTTTCCTATATTCAATGAATACAATTATATCTTTATATCTGAATATTCCAATGAACTTTAAACTCAACCCATCTCAAAATGAACTCTATCATTCCTGAAAACTTGTAAAACCTATGTTACCTATCAAATAGTACCACTATATATCCAAAGATTACAATAACCTAACATTATCTTATTCTTCCTCTTTGGACATCAGTAAATGTCCACTGGATGATTGATTTGTAGATTCTACATCTTCAAATAAATTTTCACATACTGACTGCTCCTACTATATAATTTAACAGATCATTACCATCCCTTAATTGATGTATTGTAATGTCTGCATAAACAACTTCTGTTTATATAAATCTAGTCCTTCTTTTACATACCTGCTAAAGTAATCTTTCTAAAAGTAAATATCTTACCTTATTTCCATTGCTTTACATGCTTCAATACCCTACAGAATCTTCATGAATCCTATCCCTGCCTTCTTTTGCCCAAACTTATTTGAAGCATTTGGATATATTGCTTTCTTTGCCTTAATGCTGTCTGAACAACATTTTTTAGTTTTTAATATTCAACTCAATGGTCATGTCTTCTATGAAGTTTTTCTTAATTAACATCCATTTTTCTTAAGGGGAAATAATCTCATTTCTCTTATGATTTCACTGTATTCTATACAGGGGGAATTTTTACATTGTACTTATAACTAATTATTGCCTGTATTTGTTGGACACACACCAAAAAAAAATCCAAAAGGATGGGGAGCTGTTTTGTTCATCCTGTTATTTTACAGGATGAACACCTGGATCAGTACCATATAGCATGTGTTGAATAAATTATCACTAAATGAATAATTGAGTTTCAGCTTAAGTCCATAAATTCTATCTGTCCATTTTAAATGATTTTATTTGACTTTATAACTTTGAGAATATGTTGTCAGAATCATTCATACTGACACATAAACATAGCATGTTACCCACATCTTTTGATTCCTCAGTGATACTGAAAACTATTTTAGTTTTTTGGTATCCTCCATAGACTAGACCAAACATTGCTGAATTCATAACAGGGATAAAATACTTATATAATTATGTAAATAGCTGAAAACAAATTTTAATGATAAAATAACCTTAAAAATAAATTATGATTAATTTATTATTAACATAGCTGACTTTCTTTCATGAACAAATGCATAAATATATATGTGTATATATATATATTATATCTGCAATAATCTATCTGGTTATAAAAAATATATATACATACATATTACATAAAAATTACTTGTTTTACTGTTATCCAAATAGGAGCAGCTGTTGTTAAAATTGAGCATATAAAGACCTTTAAAAGCCTGCAAAATTTAACATTGTCTGATATTAGAGAAGAATGAAAAAATATGAAATGAGTAAAAAATGGTAAAAATTTTCTAGGACAAGTTAGATAAGTGGAAACATAACAAAGAAAAGCAGTAGAAGAGACAGACCTGCATATCTTCTCCTTGGGGAGTCCACTTCTTCTGTGATCACATCATGTAATGGACAGACATAGACAAAGGAGATGGGTGTGAGTGGATGTACTCAAAAGGTAAAAGTGACACTGAAGGAAAGGGTCCCAAATCATTTTGAGAAAGAATCCTGTGCACAGGTTGTAGGGAAGATATAATCAAATACATACCACACACACAAAAAAAAGAATCATGTAAGGATTGATGGCAAATTACTTTAGCTACTATAGATGAGCAGAATCAGAAAAAATAAAGTTAGTGCATAAATAATGAGTATCCAAAAGATTACAATTAGTTTTGTACTGCCATTCTTGAACACTGATGCTGCAGAAAGAAATCATTAGTAAAACCAATATTAGTTGTATGACCACATTTTCAAGCCGTTACTGAGGTCCATTGAAAATCTGTGGAAATTCTTTTAGATATTTAATTATCTGATGAAAAGAATTTAACTGAGTCATTATCAAAAAGAGCAGTCAAAATAGTTCAAAAATAGTTTCAAGAGATACCTATGCTTATTAAATTTCCCAAACAAAACAGTGTGTACATGAAAATAAAGTATAGCCATCTGGACAATTTCATTGAATAACTTGAACACAGTAAAATATTATCATAAAATACTATGAACTAATAAATATAATACAAATCATTATGAGAAGAGTTGCTGAAATATATGGCTTTATTTTATTACTATAAATTCAAATTAACCTTCAATTTAAACAAAGTTTCTTTGGTCAGATTCCCTTTTAATTCTTATATATTCAGAATATTCTTGCAAAGACCACATTATAGACCACCAAAGTTTCTATGAAAATGTACCCATCCAACTTAAATATCTATTAAAATAGAGCACGAATTTTGGAATCACTTCTTTCCCCATTGCTAGTGAAGAAGTTCAAAAGGTAATTTATATAGTAATTTGAAAGCAAGGAAAAAAATTCTGCAACTGAAAAAGACTGAAAAACCTAGCAAGTGAAGAAAAAAAGAGTCCTTCAAAATATTAGTAATGTTAATATGATTAACTCAAATTAATAATACAATACAAAAAGCAAAACAATTCCTATTTTAATTACCCATTTAGCTCTGAATCTGAGACCACAAAATTCTTAAATACAACAGTCAATTCCGTAATAGTTGTATGATGTTTTCTGAGCAATTTTTGGAAAAATATGTTGGCTTATCAATTAATTGAAATTACAACTCCTGAGAGAATTATTTCCTATAACAAACTTATCTTTTATAAATAGTGAAAAAGGAAAAAACTTTCTACTTTTAAGATAAAGTAATAAGATGACCCAATATTTCATAGGAAAAAAGAGAAGTTCTAGTATAAACTATACAAAATTGAAACATAAGTGACACATATTGAAGCTAAATGATATTCTTTTATTATTTTATATGCACATTTTTCACCTATTCAAAAATCAGACACTCATCACAATTGTATTCCAAACTGGAAGCTACTAATAGGAAAAATAAAACAAAACAAAAATATACTGAAACATACTCATACACATTAAATTGATATATGCTTTATGTTCTTTTTATTCCCAGTCCACCTATTTCTTAAAGAAGGTGAGACAGAATCATCAATGTTATATTAACAAAGGACAATGTTGATCAGTATCATATCTTGCCTATGGTGTACACACAGAATTTCCCTACCTACACATTTTCCATTCTACTAAAATAGTTTCTTCAGATGTTAAAATGAAATTGGTATGAATTAAATAAAATAATTACTTATATATACTCCATCTCTAAAAATACATTTTAATTTTTTTGCAGAAAACATAAGAAATCCACACATAAAAGAAGCTTCTTTCTCTATCAAGTGTTTTTCTGTATCTTAGAGTACTTTATGTATCATTGATGTAATGATTTTCATCTTATAATAAAGATTAAAAATATTAAATTCTTCTCAACTCTTTATTATAATAAGTAAGGGACACATGTAGAGTTCGAGTGACTTACCCAATGTCACAAAACAAGTTCAGTGGTAAAGCCAGATAGAAAAGATGGTTCCTGATTACCCAGTCAATTTTCTATCGACTAGATATTATGGGACCCAATAAAATATATGAAACAAAAAGTCAAACAAGTAAGAAATGAACAAAAAAAAATCCTCTCATGACGTCCCCTGAACTGGACATTTATTGTATAGCATTTAATTAGAAACATTTTTAAAAAGAGGTACATGATACAACCAGTCAAGTAATCCACCAATTCTTTCATTCTTGTAAGGAATATGGTAACAATTATCTCAGAACCAGTAATTAAAAGCAATTTTTAGATAATAATACAAAACTCATATTACTCATAATGGGATGAAAATGAAATACCTTGACCACAAAACATTAATTAAAAGTATCTGTTAAATCATTTTCCCATTGTTTATGTGAATATGATGTATTAATAAAAAGATAACAACTAAGCTTGTGAAAAATATCTTTACCAGAAAAAATGTTCATGCAAATCGTAAGATTTCAATATAGAACTACAGTTATAAAAAGTGTAACTATTTGGGGGGGCTTTCTTGCCTTCTTTGTGGTCACAGTTTTATTATGTACTGTTTGCAATAAAATAAATCCTTATTTTAAAGGAGAAACTTACAATGGTTTCATTTCCAAAATTGTGTCTTACTAAAATGGTAACAAGCCATACTTATTTTGCCTGTAGTATTATAGTGAATAGCAGACTTTAGTGAATCTTGAGAGAAGAGTTTTCCTTCTACTTTTTCCATCTCTATACCTTTCCTTTGATCCTTACTATGCCACAGTCCAATATTATACTTTTCAGTGCTGTTAATGACAATTTGAAAAAGCTCTTCTTTCTTTTTAACTAATAACCATTTACAGCCACCTCTATATCCAGTAAACCAGAGTCTTCATTTAACCATGCAAAGACCAGTGAAGAGTGATTAGGATAGTAAAAGTATTCTTTCTCTTAGGTATCCATCACTAGCACAAATATGGCTGAATCTTTATTTTAGACTTAGCAAACATAAAGACTTTGTTAAGAGAATGTAGTATTTGTTTTTTGTTCATTATATCACATGAAATAAAAGATTTTCTCAAATCACAATGAAAGAAAAAATTTATAGAACAACCAGGCATGGAGGCCAATGTCTGTAATCCCAGTGACTCAGAAGGATAAAACTGGAGGATTCCAAATTTGAGATCAGCCTCAGTAACTTGGTGAGACTCTGTCTCAAAATAAAAAAATAAAAAGGACTGGGGATGTAGTTCAGTGGTAAAGCGTTTCTGGGTTACATCCCAAATCAAAGAAATAAAAATATTTATAAATACAATGAGTAACTCAGAAGCACTATTTCATTACTTACATTAAATTTTTTTCAACAAATATTTTACATTTTAATGTAATAACAAGTTGCAAACTATAAAAAGTAAGGATTGATTTTTTTAAGAGAGAGAGAGAATTTTTTTTAATATTTATTTTTTTAGTTTTCGGTGGACACAATATCTTTATTATTTTTATGTGGTGCTGAGGATTGAACCCAGCACCCCGTGCATGCCAGGCAAGCGTGTTACCGCTTGAGCCACATCCCCAGCCCAGGATTGATTTTTAATAAAGCAAAATGGCATAATATTCCCATGCATGTTCATATACAAACACTCCTTCTCTCTACAAATATCTACATTTTGTGTTTTTAATTAAAAATCTACCAAAATTTTTATATATAAAATCACTTTCATTAAGCATAAAAAGTATGATAAGGGGAATAAATATAGTGTTAGCTGTTATGTAAAATTTTGTGTGAACCAAAAATTCTTCCCTTGCCAATATAATGGTTTAACTAATACCATTTTTCAAATAAACATATGGAGTTCAAACAGAAATGATAATTTGCAATCAACTTTACTTAAAAAGGCAATACATGGTTGCCTGTTTACTCATAAGTATAGTTTTCACCAAGGGTATGCAATATCTATTTGAAACTTTGTTGCTGTGCTAATGTACCCACCTATCACCATTTACAATAGGCATACCTTAGTCCTGTTACCAGATTTAATTGTGTTTGAGTTGACATTTATCCTAAAGGAGCAAACATTATGTTTAAATATTCCTAACACAATGACACAGAAGCCTGAAGATTTTAGGTAAGAAACAAAAAACATTTGCACATAACTAAAAGTTATATGAGTATGAGGATAATATGAGGATTTATTAAAGGTAATAGATTTTTAGATTTTTTTTTTTGAGATGGGGAAGCTACTTTTCAAAAGAAAGCCTAAATAAACATGCATTTAGGAGGATCTCAGTGATACAAAGATAAGGATAGAGCAGTTTTAAATTTGTATATCTACACTAGGTCCTAGAATCAGGCCCCTGTGTATAAAGAGGGAAGCCTATATTTACTTCTTAAGGTATGAGGAACATTTAACTACAAAATTTCATCAGCTGATTTATTTTATAAAACATTTACTTAATTTTTCTTACATCACTTTTCCCATTAAGAATAAACTATACTCATTCTGTAACAATCCAAGAATAATTTAAAAATACCTAATAATGACCAAGAATATAATCCTGATTCATTTTTCCAGACTGGATGGATTAAACTAGCATCAAATTAGAAGACCAGTTTAGAATGATGCTTTGGACTGACATAAATTGTTCCTACTTTAAAGAAATCCCAAATATTCAGGAATAAAAGGAAAAAGAAGTATAAGATATGAAAATACTCAAGAAAAAATTTAAGTATAAAATTAACTAACAAAACACTTCACTAAATATTTATTTTCCTTAAAATAAATTTTATAAAACATGATCTAAGTTAAAATTAAGTAATGAGAAATTTCTAACTCTGCTATGATTATTCACTGTTTTTACTGATAGAAATTGCTAATCCAAATATTTCTGCATATTGTATCAATTAACACTATGAATATCAAATTATTAACTATCATTATAAATTACATTAAAAATACTATATGGAAACATCCACATAGGAAAAAAAAACTAGAAATTAATACATTAAATAACACAATGCTAAACTGGAACTTATGCATACATTAAGATGCTATAAAGTAGTAAAATATAACTTGACACTTCAATTATTTTCAATAAATAAAATATTATATAATCATATCATACCCCAACAAAGTGTTTCACTGTCCTTTTACCAAAAACAAACAAATAAACAAAAACCCCCACAAACTTATTTTCAGATATGATAAAGCAAATTAAGAGAACTGTCATGGTTTCAGAGTAATTACAATAAAGGTAGGTAAGTCAATTTAAGATTTTCCTAGATATAACATTTGTTACACTTAGAAAACAACAAATCAAGGCTGATAGTCCTCTTATAACTAGTAACAAACAATCATCAAACATACTGGAAATCATTTAAAATTAAATTTCCAAGAAGATTGTGACTGTTCCAAGATCAGTCTATCCAAGAGTTTCTCATTTTGGAGAAATTTATAAAATTTTGAGTTTCAAAACATGCATTTAACCTGGAGAACTTCTTGTTTAAGTTAGCTTTCCTAACATTTTATATAATAAGCAAAATATAAGGTTAAATATTTTATGTAGAAATATGTTCTTTTCTCACATACATTTCTACTTATTTTAAACAGATAATCTCATAAGGCAAAAATAGTAAAATTCAATAGTACTGTATTATTAAAGACCATAATATTGTTGTCTGGAATCAGATTGCTCATTTTAAAAATTAACAACACATTATTCTTACTTATGCATCATTGATTTATATTAAAAATGTTTTATTAACATTAAAGTCTAAAAGAAATCTAATCCACATTCCACAAGGGGAACAGAGATTGTGAAATTTAAGATTATATGTAGAATTTTTGTGTTTTATGCTCACACCAAAGACATTAATATGATTAATTATGTTATATCTCCCAAAGGTCTTCATCTATACAGCTATCAATTAAGTTATAGAGACTATCCCTCTTGCTGCTAAAGACATCCTAATTCAGAAATACTGATTTTTCTCTACAAAAAAGCAGATACTCATCATGCTATATGAAATCCATCCAAATATTTAATTCATTTTCTATCTGTGTCTTGCCATTTAGTTCTCAGTTCTATAGTCTTATGCTTATAGTAAAAGTTTTAATTCAAAAAAATCACTTTGATTGTTAGCATACTTCCCAGCAATGGCAAAACTCTCATGTATTATAAATATTCTTGCATAGAATTTCATAAAATGGAAAACAAATATGCTACTGATAAATAACCAACTTCAATCCCAGGTTTGGATTAAAGTCCTTGTCAACTTTTTCTAATGCCACAAGTTTACCACAATAAACTTCTGATAAGGAATATGTATCAATTCACAAATTCTCTTAGATTTGAGAGCATAAAAATGATATATTAGGTACTGATCATAATTAATATAGTATTAATATTATAGATGCAGTTAAACATAAAATAAATAAAGATTCCAAACATTTCTTTTATAAAGTTCAGGCTCATAAACATGTTGTTCAAATGCAATCAGCCCAACTTGATAGCCCATTATTTTTCTCCAATTTTATGACTCTGAAGTTTCAGTAATTAAAAATATTTTCTATATACTTTTTTTCTTTAGAAATAAACAAAAATATGGAACAAAAATTTAACATTCATTTTAATACCTTCGTATATTTTGTACTTACTTGTGACATTTCAAATTTGAATTTAAAGAACCAATTTTCCCAGAATACAGGAAAACACACAATTGCCAAAATAGAAAAAAAACAATTTAAACTATAATATTAATGCACTCTAATTAATTTCCCTCTACTATATATATAGATCTTATTCAATTAGAAGGATTAACTGATAAAAAGAAACCTATGGTATATGTGAGAATAAAAAATACATAAAATAGATCTTTAAAATTTTCCATTTGTGAGATTTACAATTTTTTTAACCAAACATTGCATTGTTCCATGATTTTAATATACAAATGTAGATATATATGTGGCCACAAACACACTAATGTATTAGATATGATGGCAAACAAGACAAAAAAAACATAAGTAATAATTTATGACTGAAGGTAATCCATGTCATACAATAATATAGTAAGGAGACAATTTTACAGCAATATTTAATTATATAAATCATAATATATAGTATCAGTTTCTATTTATTTTGTTTACTTTTTATAATTTACTTAAATATATTAAACCAATTATGATTTTTTTCAAATTAATTGATTCTTAAGTAAATATTTGAAAAAAATGCTTTTCTTCCAAGTCTTTAAAAATATTTAAATTTCCAATGTGAACTGTAGTTCATTATGTTTTCAATATGTACTGCCTTACTAAAGAGAATTCACGGATTGTCATTTGTGTTTTGCCATCTTTCTTTGCTCTATAGACAGGTGATATAATGTGATAAATTTTTCAAAGTCCTCTATTCTCCTTAATAGCATTTATCATAATTATAATTTCTTAATAACTATTTTTTAATTTGCCTTTTTATGTCAGATATAGACTCTAAGAGGACAACTGTTTTGTCCATGATATCTACCCCAATAATTCACTGCCAAATGCAATTGCTCAAAAACAACATGAAGGCAATGAATACTTGTAAATGAATTTATACATTGACATCTTTAAAATACAGATTTTAGAGTTCTAAGACAAAATGTGTCACCACATAAAAATACATTAACACTGCTACTATATAGAGAGAGTCATTTTGAATAATAATATAATTAGTAAAACTCAATGTGAATTTTAATAAAAAAATTTTAGGTACTCTCATCCAATTACTTATTAAAAGTAGTACTGATTATTCAGTTGATTGATCTCTGCAAATTTTCATTTCTTTCCTTTTATTCCTCCTTTTAAAAACTTGTTTTTTTCTTATAGTTAATCAAAAAAGAGAAGAATGAGTGAATACAACGAAACACTTCATTTCAATTCACTGATAAAATTAATTGTGTAAAGTGACTTAGTGAATTGACAAAACATGCCATTCCTTCTACTTGTTATTGGAAGTAATTTTGGCTCCAAAAGTTGCAAATAAATAATTATTAATATACAACATAAATATTTCAGTACCATTTGTATTTTTAAATGGGAATGGCCTATAAAGATAGCCTTTAAATCATACATTGAGCTTTTCTGTAGTACTATCTAGGGAGGATATTACCTCTCCATTAAGGTACAATCAAATATATAAAGCACATAATCATTTGTGCTTACATTAGTCATTTTTTCCCTGAAGCACTAATATTAATAATAATAATCATATTTTCCCCAAAATATCTATAAGTAATTTTCTAAACAAGTCTTGAAATACAGTATTTACCATTCTATCTACATGGGATTCACACACTTTAAAGTTCACACCAAAATGAGAAAAATGAGGTACAACAAGGACACACACATTTGAAAAGCATGAAATGCAATGTTATAGTCTCATGCTTTCATGTGGTTTCCAAACCCTGACAAACCTGGCTCAGATTGGTGTTTCTTTTTCGGCAATGGTGTGTCATCACTTATTGTACCATTCACCTTTTTCTGCTGGTCTTCCCATGTAACTTCTAGTATAAATCAAAAAAAAGGTAATCAGAGCTTTTCAGAAACAGTAGATAATGTGCATAACAAGAACCTAAAAACACTTCAGGGATTGAAGATTTAAAAAAAAAATCTCTCCTAATTCTCATATTACACAATACGTAAACATTTTAAATATAAGAGTGTGGCATTATTTGAAATATTTTTATAGATTTCAAAATCCAAGAAATTAAAATTTATTTTTGGTAAATTTCAACATCTATTTTCATTAAAATGAATGGGGCTGAGGCAGGGAGAAATAGTAACTAATGATAATTAAAATGGTTTGACAAAGTTCTTGTCTTTGTTTTTATTAAACAATACTAATTTATTTTAGAAATAATTTTTAACCATTATTTTATTGTGGTGAAATTAAATATTTATATGTAATTAGAGATTTTTGTGCATATCCAGAGAAAATTCATGAATACACATGTATATATAATAAAAATGACTATTTTACTACTATATTTAGAATCTTCTTTAAGTGAAAAAATTGTATATGGTATGAAATATTTCAGTAAAACCCTTGATAAAGGAAGACAAAAATATTTAGCAGTAACAGCTTAGTTGAATATGAGTTACCAAACTTATCTCAGATTATTTAGAATTATTTCTAGTGTGTCATAACACTCATTCATTCAATAAATATGTATTCAGCATCTGCTATAATCCAGGCACATCTAGATACAATATAATAGCAAATAAAATAGGTAATAATCCATATTCTCATAAAGCTTATATTTTAGTGGGAAAGGCAGAACTTATTAACAAGGTAAATAAGTAAAATATATTGTGATGTAGACATTGGTGATTGCTAAAAAGACAACTATGAGGTAGGTAAGAGGTAAATGAAATATACAAGAGATGATGACATTTGGGATGGGCCAGTCAGGGAAGTCCTCTCCAAGAAGGCACCTTTTGAGTAAAGCACTTAAGGATATAAGAGTGGACAATCCAGGTAGGAATAAGCAAGTATAAATACATGCCCAGAGGTAGGAATAAACAAGTGTAAATGCCCAGAAGCATGTCTGATGTGTTCCAGAAAAACAGGGAGGTCACTGTGGGTGGAGCAGAGTTAACAAAGGAGAGAGTAGTTGAAAGCAGATTAAAGCAGTAATGGAGATGAGATGTGAGGTAGTACAGCTCATGAAGTGTCTTGTTGGACTCATATTAAAAGATTCACTGGCCATGATGTCATCTTAGTCTCATAGTAGCAGTCAGAAACAATTATACCTCTTACCACTTCCCTTTCTTATTATTCACATTTCTAAAGTTGAACTATAAGAAGACCCTAACTATATAATTCTGATTCCCATACAGTTTCACTATGCCATACATGGTTCCCTGGAAATTAGCCACCCTGAACCATACATATTAGAACACAAACATTTTATAATATTAAGTTAAGCTAAATATAATGGGGAAGATAAAAATCACTCAAAAAATGGGGAAAAAAATCCCAATTGCAACATCAAACATGTGATTTTGAATATATTATTGTTTTTTATTTGATTACTTATACTGTTAGATTCAACTACATTAAGTATAAGCATTTCCAAATTCCTTAACCTGAAATAAATGGTATTAATAATATGACACTATATTCTCATAAAAGATAGATCATTTATTCCAAAGAAATAAACTTCTTGCTTTGGGAATATTAAAGTTACACCTAGATGTGTAGTTTACACCCTGATTTTCCAACCAGTAAACTGTCTGATAAAGATACAATGTAGGATTTTAAAATTATAAGCAATCTGGATGAAGATGCTATATTTCAATCTAGTGAACAGAAATCTTCAATTTTTTAAAAAAATTTGATGAATCACAAGACATTAGTTAAATCATCTTTAGTTATAAGAATAACTAAATAAAAGAAAACCATTTGCCCATTTGCTTCTTGATCAAAGTTAGATTGTAGAAACATAAAAGCCAACAAACTAGTTTTCCCATATTGAGGAAAAATAAACAAAAATAATAAAGAATATATTGATTTTAAAAGACTTGTACTTTTATTATCTATCAATAAACAACATGAAAGATTTTACAAGCATCACAAAATGCATCTAAAAAGCAAAATGATAGTTATAATTTTAAAATGTTTGATAAACTCTGTGATGTTCCAAAAAATAGAAGTCTTGCTACCCTTGAAGGAAGACTGACTGTGTAGAAGTAGAATTTATTTGTTTTGAAAAATCTGTAAATTAACAGTATTTTCTGAAGTCTGAAGAAAAAAAAATCTTTGAAAAATCTTCAAACATAACATACTTACATAACTAATTCCTCTCCCCCTCAGGACTGGGGAAGGAACCCAGGGCCTCATGCATGCTCAGTGGCAGGCACTCTACCACTGAGCTATATCCCCAGCCCCTAGAGTTAGCTTTTAAACACTTTCTTTGACATTTTAATTGAAAATAATTCTTTCGTAGACACAGTTTTGTTGACAGAGTGAAATTAGCAAATATTTTTTGAAAAACTATGACAAAAAGAAAAAAATTACAATAACTATAATACTTAGAAAGACCAGCCTACAACAATGAAAAAACTAAATCAAATCTATCAATGATTGATGGAAGAGATATTCACATGTGACTAAATGGAGCAAAGAAAGGTGTCATTTAGAACATGGCCCTCATTGAGTAGGTATATGACTTTAGGCTAGTTCTATAACTTCTGTGGCCTCTGATTTTTGTTATAATTGATATAAGAAAGCTAGTTCTGAAATATTTGTAAGGTTATTCCACTTCTAAAATACGAAGTTGTTCTACTTCTTACCCTTCTAATTGATTAGTCAAAATAAACTTTGTGGAAGAGTACCAAAAACAGACCTGATAAAATTGAGATCCTGAGAGTTCAGAAGATTTTTCAAGAGTTTGAAATACAGCTATTTATTATACCCTATATTTAAATTTAAGTGTTTATTTTAAACAAAATTAAGGTCATAAAAAGAACAGATTGACTATAACACATTAATTCAACACTCAAAACAACAATAACAACAACAACAAACAATACTAAGGTAGTTATTTACACCCAGCCCTCTTGGAATTTATAAACTATAAAATTAAGATAAAACATTTAAAGTCATTAAACCAAACAAGTTTGCTACAAGGAAAATGGTCAAATTGTCTGAAAGCTGTTTTAGTGACATTAAACAAAACTGGCAAAAATTTTGAGCTTGCAACACCTTAAAGTCCTTTGTACTAAAGGACCATTATAATTATTGAAAACTAAAATCTTGTCAGTTTTAAATTGTAAATTCCTTAATATTGAAATTTAAGTAGAGAGTTATCCAATGATACTGTGTTCTTACTGCCAAAAAAGTAAAAATCAGAGGTAGACTTTTGTGGTGACTGTTATTTTGTAAGACTATGTGTCAATTGGCTTTAATGAAAAACTAGAAACCATTTGAGTAGGAAAAAAATGTTTCTTCTAATAATATAATTTTTCGCCAAAATTCTTATTGAATATTTAAAAATATTATTGATTAAATATTTAGTATGGGCCAGGTACAGTAGGACAAACTCAGGAGGCTGAAATAAGAGGATTACAAGTTCAAAGCCAGCCTCAGCAACAGTAAGGCATTAAGCAAATCAGTGAGACCCTGTCTCTAAATAAAATACAAAATAGGACTGGGGATGTGGCTCAGTGGTTGAGTGCCAGGTTCAATCCCTGATGTCAACAAAATAAATAATAAATAAATAAATATTTAGTTGTAAACCTAGGTTTCTTAAATGTCATATGATTAATGTGTAATGAAAATTTATTTTTAAAATTTAATAAAATACATAAGAATTTTTAAGATTAGAAGTTCCTAAACAATTACTGTATTTATCTAATCACAAATTCCTAGATGGAAAAGCTTGGTGATTGATTTAATAATTATTAGACAATTATAAGACTATATAAATTGTGACTATATTCATGAAGACTTAACTATGGTGTTGTTTTTTGTAAGTGATATTTAAGGAATTTGTATGTCTAAAAGTAACTATATTCCAACTAATTTCATCACACCAGGTAGCCAATCCTATATTAATACTACGACTTAAAGAGCACAAATTCCTATATTAGCAATATTATATTTCTATAATGCATGTTTCAATGTGTTTTAATATACAACACCACATTTGACCATATAAAACACAAAAGAGACCTTTTATCACCTAGTTTTTACAGATAAGAAAATAAAGAGCTAGTTAATAAAAATAGAATTGCTATCCTAGTTAATGATTCACACACATTGCCTTACTGGATGGATACACAAAGCAGAATGTTGAGAATGAAAGAAATGCACTGACTTCCCTTTCTCAAAAAGCCAACTTGGATTAAAAGTCTAGAGTCACAGAGTTGGTACACTGTAGAAACAGTTGGTACACTGTAAAAACCCACACTCTTTCTCATACCATATTGCATTCTAAAAATAAATGGCTTTTAATAGAAGAAAAATGACTTTAGGATTGTATTTAGGAAATCAACAGTGAAATGAACCTGAACAAAGGTTGAAGTCTGCAGAGTGACGAGCAAAAGAAGAAACGTAAAATGAAGAGGAAAGGCCTCCAAAAAAGGAAAGGTAAATTAGGCAAATAATTTATAAAATAACTGTTTATAAGTACTGAATTGTCACAATTGATTCATTTAGGCTTGGGAATTAATTATGAATTGGCAAAAAAATCTTAAATGCTCTCTTTCCTCTTTATTCTAGTCTTCCCTGTACTTCAGGCCACCAACCACTGAATACTGCAATAGCCCAAATAGTCATATGTCTTCATTCCCTTCTCTTAAAAGTCCATCCTGCTCACTGTTACCAGGTTACTTTTACATAATAGACACATATACAATTTCTAGAATGCCTAGAAATACAAGCATCCTTCACAATGAGCATCAAAATTATTATTTTAGTTCCTTTGTAACCTGTTTGTTTTTCATTTTTCCCCACCTCTCTCCTCCTTTCTTCCTCTTCCTTCCTTCCTCTTCTCTTCCC